ACACATAATTATTTCACAGTGATTGCTCTTCATTGTTTTATCAACGAAAATTTTGGAAATATCTGGAGTCGTATTAAGACATAATGTTATTATGAACTCACTGACACCTTGCAAAGAGTTAAAGGCATTATCTCATCAATGTCAGTTCGTCCTCTCGCTGTATTTACTAAACTAGCTCACCCAAACGATGTAATGCCCAGGGAAAATTGCATTTAATTTGAAATCAAATAAGCTTCGCGAAAAGGTCTTATCATTTTATAGGTGAAATGTTTTAATCACAAGTTATATGCTTTTCTTCTATTGCACTCCTCGCTTGTGGATCTCTTTTCCGGCTTCTTGCTTCCCAGTCACCTTTGATATGGAAAAAAATTGAATGCAATGGCAATTGTTACCTTCTGTCTACTTAATTCTTGTTCTTTTATTGTTCTCTCTCATTAATAGTATTTTTCTCATGATCTCAAATACTCAGTAACAGCTTCCGTCTTAGTGGCTTTATTGCCTTACTTGGGGGGAAATTATTAAACAGATTTTACAAAATAGGAAATATCTAGCTGGAGAGAGAACGGGAAAAGGGATCCAAAGTCGTATTCTAAAGATACCTTAAAAAACTAAACAAAGTATTAAGTGTTGAGGGGTCCACCCCTTTTTATACAAATGAACTCACCCAGTATATACATATACTACTGCAAGAGTGAGGCGAGAGTAAGAGAGAGCAAGACTGAAGAGTCGAGTCGAGTCCAGAGTGACAGAGTAAAAGGTTGTAGGCGTCACAGTGATCGAGCACGTAGCCTCAGTAAGAAGTCATACAACGATACTTCAATATCAAAGACTGTATATATATATTTTGCTACTAACCCGTATTCCTGGAACTACTAACCTGCTTTACCAGTTTGTATTATTACGTTAATACATTATTTTCCTATTTTCATTCCTGGCGTTTGTTATTTATTGGACCCGGATTTCAACCCGGAATCCACAACATTAAGAGACAGGAAAAAAGAGAGCTGAAATTTCATATAATATCTGACCACATTATTGTCAGTGGCTGCTGATCAATCTTCTCGAATATGGGGAAAATTCTTGATGCAACAGGAATCTGGTTCTACAGTAGGATGTTGTGAATGCCATCGACTGGTGGCAGGGAAACATGCCCGGTGTGGAATTGGCAGGCTGCAGATAACGCTCTCGCGTCGCCTCCCCTCGAGCGCTTTCGTCTCTCCTCCTCGAACTGCGCCACTCCGGCGACGCAGATAGACCGCCAGCCGATCCGATTAATAATAGAGAGACGGTACCCAGGCTGCTGAGATTCCATATGACGCCTGATTACAGCTGGTGCTTGAAAAGAGACCTGCCATCAACAAGAAAATATGCTAGAAAGACTTTTAAAAGAATGTTTTAGTTACAGTGAAAGCTTCATATCCCTATGTTTTTCTAATTTTTATTTTAAGTAATTTCTATCGTTATAAAATAAGTTTATTTTAGTTTGAACTGCTTGTCTCCATGAAATTTGAAAAAGATATGTTGGCGCATGACTTAATATTTTTAGTTCTAGATACAAAAATCTGGAAAAATTGCACATAGGCTTTTAATAGGATTCAGGACCTGATAAAGCCAAACTGATTTAATATTTGTATTCAGGGCACCCAAATTACTTAGAATTAAGCGTCGGATATCATTCAATAAAATACGTGTTCACCAGTCTTATTTTTTGGAGGGACTTAGAAGTCCAGCACAACATCGTTGTTTCCTATAAACGTACACATATCTATATACAGTGTAACCCGGATATAAGAGACCCGGATATAAGAGAAACCCGGATATAAGAGAGATTTTCTCTGGTCTCAAATTAGAGCCTGTGTTAATGCATATATAATAGACCAAACCCGGATATAAGAGAAACCCGTATATAAGAGACTTCTTATCCGGTCCCGACAACTCTCTTATATCCGGGTTACACTGTACAGTGTAACCCGGATATAAGAGACCCGGATGTAAGAGAAACCCGGATATAAGAGAGATAGTCTCTGGTCCCAAATTAGAGCCTGTGTTAATGTATATATAATAGACCAAACCCGGATATAAGAGAAACCCGGATATGAGAGACTTCTTCTCCGGTCCCGACAACTCTCTTATATCCGGGTTAAACTGTAGTTTATTGGAGCGTATTCGCGCCACAAATTTCAGAATTGCTCCCAACTTATCAGAGACGCCTAAACATTTTGAGATTCGAGTTAAAAGCTGATTTATATATTTTTCATTATCCTAACAAACGAATTTATCTGATTAATCAATAAGATAGGAAAATCAATTTTTCAGATTTCCATTAAGTCTACAGATGAAATAAAAATGCCTTTTGTAACACAAATTGATTGATTTTGATCTGTTCTTGCGATATGTATTCCTCGTTTTTATTTCGGCTTTACGTCAGTGAACAAACTACACATTCAATATCAGTTTTGCTTTTAGAACTTTTATATAAAACATTGCCGTACACTTGGCATAGTTGTCATAAAATATTTCATAGTTCACCGCTGGTCTACTAAAAGATATTGAATTCTGATTTTATGTGCCGTGTCCCTTCAGGACGTAAATCGTTCATTGCCCTCCACATATCCCTGTCCTTTGCAGCTCTTAATGAGTTTTGTCTTTTTGTTATTTCTTCTAAAAGCTGTTCTACCATTCATTTATCGAAGTTCATCAAATATATTATGCGCTGATTTCTTCTGTGCCCCTTTTACTTAATCTGTCCTGTGAGTATCAGATTTTTCAAGCCTGCTTCGTTCATTAAGTACCCCAGAAATTTCAGCTGTTTCTTCCTGATGTTAAGTATACATTAGCTTTTTGTTTCCATTTTCTCCAGAAACCGAGTTGTTGCTAACATGTTATATTTGGCCACCTAACTCCCCAGAACGCAAAACCCTAGATTATTATGTATGGGGGCGTATTTGGAGCGAGAGACCAACAAAACTCCTTGAAACACCAAAGATGATTTGACGTTAAGGATTATGGCAGCATTCACCAACTTAAACAAGACGGTCCAAAAGAGGTACAGTGGATAGTGTCTGGAGGCCATGGTGGAAGCCAATGGCGATTTTATTGAATAATTATACTTTTTCATATTTCAGGATATTTTTGTGCAATATTGGAAAATATATCTGTTAAAATGAGATGTTAGTGTTATTTTCTTTTTTGCGTAATTTAGACGACATTTTATCAATCGCACCCTATATATGTGTATGCATGTGTTGATGGGGGTGTGGCTGTATGATTTTGTCTTTTCAATGGCGGTTGCTTTCTCTTTTCATTTAAAAAGAATTTTGCTCGCAGTGATTAGACCCTATAACAATTCCATTAATCTTTGTACTTGATGTCACCGACACAAAGAACGTTTTTTACTCTACCCTATTTTTTTCCACTATATACAAAACAGCCTGTCGATAGATCGTTGAGCCAGGCCTCCACTTCCCGTTAGCGCTGCTTTTCGTTTGAGGATTTGAAAAGCAAAAAGGAACCCCAAAAAATAAAAAAATAAACGAACAAAACAATGACTGAGAATCAATTGGTGCGGACAATCGATCTTGCGCAGAAAGCGTCCACCCGTTTCACTATTAAATGATCAAATATAATCGATTTTGCTTTCATCATCAAATGTCGTTTGACAATTTGGTGCCTCTTTTCGTTCAACGTGTGCTGTGTGATTAAATCAGACAGACTGGTCCGTCGTGTTGTCGGGCTGTCGTGGGTTATAACTATCGAATTATGGGTGCAGGAGGGAGTCACCCGATGGTTTATTAGTGAACTCTCACTTTCTCGTTAAATCATTCCCATATTTTCTTTATTTTCAGTTTTGTCTTTCTTTCTTTCAGTTTGTTACTCTTTATATCTTCCACCCGCTTCTTTAATTCCTTTTTAAATCTATCTTCCTTTAATGGCTGTCTACGTGAAAAAAAACAAAACAAAAAAAAACAAAAAATAAAAAAACAAACAAACACATATACAAATCTCCAGAAATATCGGACGGAACGCGATGTGGTCCGAGATTTAATAACGAGAAGTGCGTTTGTCTGAAATTAAAAGAGGAAACATTGCAATTGTTCCGTTAATTATTAAGAATTATTTCTCCATCTTTGTTGATTTGACGAATATTTTCGCTCGCGTGAACTTTACCTTTTCACATATTATCCGAAACTTATCGCTATTATTTCCCCATGAATGATTAACTGTTCGAGTCTTCCTTAATTATTTTCACTCTACTCTTGTAGAATGGATTCTTTTAACTTACTCATGTGTATCACCAGTACGATTATCTTCGGTATTTACGTATCTTCGGTATTTTCATACACACACATATATATATATATATATATATATATATATATATATATATATGAAAATTTCTCTGATTTAACCAGTAGAGAAGACAATATTTATGAATAAAAATGACAATAGGAAAACTGGTAATTGCTGACGCGTTTCGTCCAATGTGGACTTTATCAAAGCAAAATACGAAAATAAAATTAATTCAACACAGATATAATGACAATATTCTCCACACGTGACAAATACTGAGGTTATTTTTCAGTTAAAAATATGAAAATAGCGTTTCTCTACATTCCAGTTGCTAGGTACATTCTGTTTTTTTTTATTAGTTACTTTATTCAATTAATTTTATTTTCGTATTTTGCTTTGATAAAGTCCATTGGACGAAACGTGTCAACAATTACCAGTTTTCCTATTGTCATTTTATTCATAAATATATATATATATATATATATATATATATATATATATATATATATATATATATATATATGTATGTATGTATGTATGTATGTATGGCGGGGGAGAAATGGATATACGAGAACAATGTCAGGAAAATGAATCACAAAGTCGAAAAAATGTTATGTGTGACGTATTACGCCCTTGATGACTTCATCGAATCAAAGTGATGTCTACGTTGATGAAAATATACAAGCTCCCGAAGGAATTGGGACGCTGAAATGAAACACGTAATACAAAGCCGAAATGTGTGTTTTATTATCTATCTATCTATCTATCTATCTATCTATCTATCTATCTATCTATATCTCTCTCTCTCTCTCTCTCTCTCTCTCTCTATATATATATATATATATATATATATGAATATATGTATGTATGTATATGTATGTATATATATATATAAATATAAATGTCAATGTTTATATCTATATCTATGTCTATACCTATATATATATATATATATATATATATATATATATATATCCTTCAGATATTATAGAGAGGAATATTAAAATGAAGATGTATTCAGACAAATTTAAATAAAAGCCACGGAACGCGAATTTAACGGTCAGTAATTATCCTGCAGATACCTGAAGATTGCCTATACGAATGAAACTCCGAAACGTGCTATCCACGTGCGATATTATGTGTATTCACTAAGATATATTTAATAGCTCTGTTATATAACATTGAGCAGTGAATTTATAACACTTGAGGGATATATATATATATATATATATATGTGTGTGTGTGTGTGTGTGTATATATATATATATATGTTTATATATATATATATGTATGCATGTATATATATATATATATATAAATACATGCATACATACACATGAGCGCGTGTGTATGTGTTTATACGTATGTTTTTATCATATGAATCTCCTACTCTCTCTCTCCCCTCTCTCTCTCTGTATATATATATATATATATATATATATATATATATATATATATATATATATATATATATATATACGTACGTACAGTGTTTTATGATTATTTGTCATTTCCTACGTTTTTATATTCTCTCCTTTGCTTTATTATATTTCGATAGTTGTCGAAGTGGCTAGATATTACATTGACTAGACATTCTCGCGTTTTAAAACTTAGGTGTTACACACACACACACACACACACACACATATATATATATATATATATATATATATATATATAAAGAAGTATACTGTTAGTGTTAATGTATGCTAAATTTATGGGATAATATCAGAGATAGAGCGTGTGTAAATATAAAAGTGAACATTAAAGGCTTTTTCATGTTAGACGCAATCGTCAGGCCTGACGATTGCGTCTAGCAGGAAACAGCCTGTCGCCTCTAAAGTGTTGACTTCAATACGCATATATATATATATATATATATATATATATATATATATATATATATATATATATGCGTATATCTAATGAATTAGTAGTTCCCACAAAGACCAATGAAACATATTTTTTTAAAAATTGTTAATGAATTCGATCACGTATTAAAGGGCATAATATTTTAGCCTTTTGCCTGACTAAACTAACATTAAGTCATATATGTTTATAGGATTTTATAGAGGTGTCTGTGCTTATTTCAGAGAAGTCTATTTAAAAATTTGATCAAATCTATATCTTTAACATTAAAATATTAATAAATGTGTCAGCTTTTTCCTGTATACACGTGTGAATATATGTGGCGCCTCATATGACACACACACACACACACACACACACACACACACACACATACATATACATACATACATACATATATATATATATATATATTGGAGAGAGTTTACACAAATTTACGTTTATAAATTTCGTTTCATATTTACTCTCGGATTGTGTCTACGAACGCTGCGACAAGGGACATATGATTGATTATTAGGCTTTCATTCTGACATCACTTCTTTGAAAGGACATTAAAGAAGGCGAAAGGAATCTGTCATCATTTTATCAGTAAACAGATAGTGACAAAGACATTCCACGGTGACATCTTTCTGTCGGGTTGCTGTTAACGGACACATAAAATAAACAATAGTGCACTCGAAAGTAGTCGGAATTCACACTGGCCTACCGACGTAAAGTTAATAAATAACAAAAAAAGGAAAATATAATACGAAACCCGTTCTCCTTTTCATAAATCATTTTTATAAACATTGTGGCACGCGGAAAGCAACCTCTCCTACCGAATTACAAAAACTAGCGTAAAGATGAAACGAACAAATTGACATACGACAATAATCAAATAAGTCTGTAGTGATGATTTCATTTTAAATAACACTTTTTTGGTTGAGTGATTAGTCCAATACCCTTCCGATCAGAAGACCCGAGTTCGAATCTCACCAAGGTCGATTCGTCAAGATCTTTTCTTTTGCAGAATAATATCGCGTTGCGAAGACGATTACAACTTGTGGGAAGTATCTGTAAACGATAAGGCTTGCAATTAAAACTCAATAGACGAAATTGTTCGCAAACCGTTGATATTTGCTCCAACACGAACTCAAAGGACATCATTTAGGTATATTGTTCAAACTGCTTCATCATGCTAGAGCAGTGTTTCCCAACGTGGGCGCCAGGGCCCACCTTGTAGGTTCTGTTTTTATTTCATTTGGATGCCGGTAAGCATACTCAGGGAGCCGTAGGCATTCATCCATTTTTTTTTTCAAATTTTCAAAAAATTATTAAATATTAGCTGCTAAAAGAAATTTCTGAAAGGTATCTAAAACTGTAAGAAGCTTTCAATTTTCCTCATTGCTTTTCCAATTTCCTATATGGCTGAATATGGTTTCAACACAGTTTTACGGCTTCTTACTAAACAAAGAAACCGTCTGCCAATTACAAAACGAAGCGATCTACGATTAATTCTAAGCAGTATAAAACCTAGATTAAGAATCTTAGACAGTAAACAAAAAAAAAGTCAACCATTGCATTGTTTTCAATGCGATAAGCTGTCAAATACAAGTTGTCTTTTTAGCATTTTAATCATTGGCATTTATAATAGAAATTAAAACAATATTAAAATTATTTTTGCATTTTACCTAAGTGTTAACAAGCTGTTAAAAATGAATTCAGTATAATATTCAAAATTTAATTTAACTTATAGCATAATTTACAGGTTAGCTCTGAACTAAACCACAAAATAATGTGGTTTCTGGTTACATCCATTTAACTGTTGCCTCTGTCGGAAGTAAACAAGTAATACAGTTTTTTTGGTATTTGGAAAAATCTTTTAGTGTCTTCTTTCAGAAAGGAAGATATAGAAAGTTCAAAGCTACATTTCACGTTGAGCCTTTTTTAATCATTAATCTAAAAATAGGGTCGTATATTGTGAATATTTTCGACATTACTGAATTATTAGGACGTTGTGTATAACATCCAATGGTTTGACGAGGTTACTTAATTCTATGACGAATTTTCATTTTAATAACAAAATTTATTAGCATCTCTAAACTGGTCTAAATTATCTGTTCATAACATTTTTTTTGCTATTTAAATCAACATCATATACATTATCATGGTTAATATTAATATCATAAGTTTTTTCTATCATTCATTGTATACTAAAATAAAAAATAATCGAACATTTGTTCTTTGAATATAAAAGATATTTACGCAGCCAGAAGGAATAATTTTATTTTCAATAAAAGAGAACTTCGTCTTTTTATCATTTCCACACAAGCAAGTCAATAAAACCACTACTATGCAAGGGGTTACCCAGTGTGAGAGAATATGAGAAAAATAAAATATTATTAAGAACAGCAAAACGCGACCACGCACGATGACAGCATATTATTAAGAAGGGAGAACAATAACAGAACAGGAATAAAGAAGACTGAAGATGACAATGAATTTAAATTTTGAAAGTCAGAGTTCACTGATAAGCAAAAAAGCTGGAAGAGATTTGCACAAGCAGGAAAATCGAGAGAAGAATCTCTTAGCATAGAACTTACGGTTACATCTAGCTATTTCAACTGTAAAATGATTAGACCTCATCAGTCAGTCTTGGACTGCGCTTAAAATCATAAAGGCGATATACCAAAAGGAATGCACACCATGAAAATATTCATGGAAAAAACAAAGTGAATCTAAATTACGGTAGTGGGAAATTGTAAGATTAGCCTTGATTGATAAACAAGAAAGCAGAAACGTGTTCCACGAGCGTGAAATGTGACAGAGGAAGCTGTTAGCAGACAAATAAAGGTTACATCTAGCCATTTCAACTGTAAGATTATGAGACATTATTAACGAAAATGGGTTGGCATTACCTCAATTAAAAACTACTTCACTGGCTAACGTAGTTGGTGTTTAGTTGGTCACTACTGACTGCATGAAGGTAATAAAGCGAGTGGATATATAGTTGAATTTGTGTGTTTGTTTGCGTGTAACTTTGTCCGGTTAAGGAAAGTGTATGTGTATGTGTCAAGGTCTTGCGTGCTAGATATATATATATTCCACCGGGAACAAAAATCGAAAACAACAGAAGACTGATTTAATCACTAGCATAGATTTTTCCTAGTGTTGGTAGATTATTATCATTATTTTTCTTTTTTTTTTCTTTTCTGATACGACAGCCAGATATTTTTGGCTTTGTCCACTGAAAATGTTTGGTTTACTGTGAACGAAATCAATTTATGTACTAGAAGTACCCATGAAAATTCCATGATTTTCTTATTTGACTTTTCTGATGAATCTCAATTCTTAAGTTGACCAGTGAATAAGCTTCGGGCGCGTTCTACGAATATAACATTTCAGTAGGCATTGTTATATTCCATTATTAAGTATTTGATCTGAACACTGATATCAACATATGGCAATAAAAGCATAATCATGAATACAGATAATTATTTAAATAAATATGAGAGGGTAAATAAAAGATATAACATTGACAAGATTTTCAACTTGAGTGAAGCAGACGATAAACACATGAGGGTTTTATCGCCTCAGCATTTTCTTTATCATTTTGTTGAAAGCAAACAGCTTCTCTGTTATGTGTCTTCCATCTATCCTCGCCAGAAAAATGGAATTATTTTTTAGATAATATCTGTGATGTAACATACGTGGAACAAGCAGAATTATGTCAACTAGAAAGGCCCGTGAAATTTACACAGTTTTCCTAGTTTAATATCTTGATGAATCTTAATTCTTAAGTTAATGACTGATTGAGCTTATGGCGAGTCTATCATAATGTTAAATAACTGAGCTTTAACATCTTTAACAATATATTGCAATATCAAAAATATCAATGCTATATTAATAAATGTGTACCAATGTAATGATCTGAAAGTGTCAATTTTCTCCACCATATTGAAAAATCCGGTATACACCGGTTTATTCTCTCCATTCTTTTTTTCTTCCCGTCA